ACAGAACACAGCAAAAGTGATGGGATGTCACTTCCATCATTATGGTACGTAAGGTTTTAACTTCCATTTGCTAGCAGTTCCTCTGGTGGACAGCCAGCAAGAAACTGGTGCCCCCAGTCCTACAGCCCACAGCTACGTGAGTGAGCTTGGGAGCAGATCCTGATCATAGCATTGGCCAACTCTTTGCAGCTTGTGAGAGACCCGGAGCAGAGGACCAGCTAAGCCATGACAGACTCCCACAGAAACGATGAGATGTGTATTGTTTTTAGCTGCTACACTTGTGGTAATTTGTTACATTACAATAGATAGCTAAATCACCAACTCTTTGAGTTTGTTAAAAAAAAATTAAACATTGAAAAAATTAAATTCATTGTGGGCATTCTTATTCATAGCAGATTTAAGTGTTTTAGTTAAATAGATATATGCTTTACTATGTATTAACACTATATATCCTATAGGCGTTATCCAGAGCTTTGTATCAAATGTTTCAAAAGAATACAGTCTTGTTTTCATTCCATCTGGGTCAGAAATGAGATCTTAATTTAGTCAACTCATTTTTATTCTTTTATTCATTCTATAAGTACTTTGTTTCGAAATTTGATCTTGGCCTTATCACAGTCATCAATTAGGGCCCCTGACTAGGTTCTTTGTATCAGTTTTGGAAGAAAAACACAGACCTTTCTGTTGTGCTTTTGAAAACGTGTGTGTGTTAGACACATATACTTGCTAATGGGATCTCCCATTGTGCACCACGTAGTCATGTAAAATCTAGTGTTAGAACTCACTAGTCTTAAATTCCCTCATTAAGTTCTTACTTTCCAAAGAATCTTGACTTGGTTTTGAAAGGCAACTTAAAGGGTGATGATTAGATAGTAATCAATAATCCTGAGAGATGTTTAGGAACAAATACCTGAGCTGGACGTAGGCAGGGACCTAAAAATGAACAGGAAAATATGCAAAACTAAAATAAAACAGCCAAAAATATACCACCACTAACAACCACAAAAACCCCTCTGAAGTGTTATTTCGGTTTAGGGAAACTCTGCATCTGTTTCTTAGCCAACACACTTAAGTGGTCAGCAAGCAGAGTTCCTTGATTAGTTGCAGGCCAGTGCTTCTCAAACTTGGGTGGGTACGCAAGTCACCTGGGGGTTCTGTAAAATGCAGTTGTGACTCAGGAGGTCTGGGTCGGGGCTGAGATTCTGCATTGCTAACATGCTCCCAGGTGATGCTGACGCTGCCGGTGCAGGACTCCAGGAGTGGGGTTGCGAACCCCGCCCCACTCTCAATGCTCACGTGCAGCCTCTGCTTCCTTCCTGCCTTCTGTCGTCCATGCCACCTCCCTCTCCCTCAGCCTCCACTTCCAGGTAATTCTACTTCTTAATTAAGGTTGTCAGGCATTTACCATTTAACTGGGTAGTCTCATATTTAAGCTCTTTAGGAAAATTAGGAGGGAAAACTGGATCCCTAAGTGTCTTTTTTTTTCAGTAATGACAAATGCTCTTATTGCATGTCAGGTTGCCTTAATAGTGGATCTCAGTTTACCCAAGCATTCATGGCTTGAGCTGCTAGAGCAGTGCTTCCAGAGGGTCTCAAGAGGAGCTGGACTGAGCCAGGGGACAGACACCTGCTTTGCCCTGGAAGGCATGGTGTCACAGGCTCTCTCCAGCCTTTATAGACATAGGTCACCTACTACCTAGACTCCATCCTGGGGGTGACTCTGGACTTTGGTGAAATAATTCAATGCAAATATTGTTAAGAATTTACTTTCATGATGTAAAAAGCTGCCCTTTTGCAAAATGGGAGAGATATACATTTACAAAAGATTCTTCTAGAACTAAGCATTGTGAGCCCCAAATATCTTTAATTCAGCCTTGATTGAAGTAAGATGAAGGGGCTGGCCGGTTAGTTCAGTTGGTAGAGCATGCTGCTGACAACACCAAGGTTAAGGGTTCAGATCCCTGTACCAGCCAGCCATCAAAAAAATAAAATAAAAATAAAATTAATATGAGACCAAAGACTGCCAACTTCCGTAGCAGGAACATTAAGAAGATCCAGATGCTTTTGAAAAAGCAAAGCTCTAGACAACAAATTACCTTATTAGATAAGTAGATTGAGTATTGATATTTGAGTTGTCATTCATTTGAGGTCAAACCTATTTATTTTGTGCCTTGTCATCATAAAATTGAGGTTCTATCTAAGTTTTTACTAAGTAAATAAGTAATAATGAAAGATTTATTTTAATAGCTCCAAGGACTATTGACTTTTTGAGACTATGACTATTTGTCATAGGAAACTGTTAAAACATTTGTGTAGGAAACTGTTCATAAACTGTCTTGTAGAAGAAGGTTGATTTATGCTGTAACCTGGGGGTTCTGATTACTGTTATCATCTGGTTCTGATTAATTTATCCAGCTTAAACAGCTTTGCAAATGGCCCCAGAAATAGGAACATAGCTAAAAGCATTCATTGGTGTAAAAAGGTTATTATTCACATAAAATACAGAAATGATGCTAACCTTTAAAACACAAAGCAGAATCTCCATTTTTTTTTTTTTTTTTTTTTTTTTATGACACACCATTGAGCTCTTCAGGAAGTCTTGTTTATCTTCTTGGCTCTTTATCTCTCGTGTCTGATTCATAGGTATCTACTGCTGTGTAACAAGTTACTCTGGAACTTAGCAGCTTGAAACAGCCGCTATACATATATTATCTCAGTTTCTGTCAGGTATCTGGGCTCAGCTGGGTTCTGCAGCATAGTCTCATCAGGCATCAGTCAAGGTGTCAGCTGGGGCTGTGGTTTCATCTGAAAGCTGGATAAGGGAGGAGCCTCTTCTGTTTACTCATGGGTTGTTGGCCAGAGGCTTCCCTCTGTTTCTTGCTACATTGGCACCTCCATAGGGCTATTCTTAACATAGCAGCTTTTTACTCCCAGAGCTAGGGCTCAGAGAGAGAGAGAGAGAGAGAGAGATGAAAGTCACAGTCCTTTTCTAGCCTACTCTCTGAAGGGACATCCCCCCATCCTATTCTGTTTATTGGTAACAAGTCACTAGGTCCAGCCCACACTCAAATGGAGGGGGTGCACAAGGATATGAATATCATAGGTGGAGATCTTTGGGGGGCCATGGCAAAGTCTTTCTGCCACACACAGTAAGTGCTCAGGGAACATGAGTTGAATCCATCAGTAGTGCTGGATCACTTGTCCTTCACAGTGAGATGCACATACCAGGGTTTCCTGCAATCCTTGTTCGGGTTGAGTTCCAGTCGGTTGTGATTTGATCAAACAGTCGTGGACTGGTGGGTTAACATGCATGCACTATTTATTCTATAAAGTGTGTACAGATATTTTTTGTTTGTTCACTTGTTTGTTTTTGAATTCTGAAAAAGTAATTAAGAAGGAAAAGGAGGCCTATAACCAGAGGCCCACTCTAGGGTGATAGTAAGCTCAGTATGATGGGTAGGAGGGTGGCAATGGAATTTTAAAAGGTTACAACTGGCTCTTTCTTGCCATTTAGATCTCAGCTTAAATGTCACCACCTTAGAGAGGCCTTTCCTGTCCCGCTAATTTAAATTAGTCATTACTTCACTTTTAATTCTCTACAGAGCCCTCAGTGCTCTCTAACAATCCCCTGCTTATTTTCTTGCTTATTGTCCATCTCTCCCATGAGAACTAATAGCCAGGAGAGCAGGGACCTTGTCTGTTGTGGGCACCTGTGAATAGCCAGCCCCTCGCTGGGCCTGGCAGACAATAAACTCTTAGTAAATACTTATGGAATACATGAATGAATCAAACACAAGGACATGGAATGATTCCAAGGAGCTTTTTGGAAATTATAATTTTGTCATGACTTCCAAAGGAAATGCCATTTATTCAGTTAACATGAATAATACTCTAATTTATCAAAAAGAAAGAAAAAATAGCCTCAAGATTGTTGGATAGTTTGGTCCCTGCCTCTAAGTTCTGGGAGCCATTCATGCCACTTCTCTGGGCCTCAGTTTCTGCAGAGGATCATTGAGGGGCTGAGGATCAGGGGTCTGCACACTGTCCTCAGTCACCAGATCCTGCTCGGGTCATGGAAGCTCCAGACACTGCTCCAAAAGAGTGGCTCTTTTTTTTGTATTTTCCACATGGATCTGCCACTTAAGATTTTGTTAGAGGAAGCAATTCTGTCGCCCCCCCAAAAAGTTTGAAATCCACAGGGCTTCCATGCCACTAATGGCCCTTCCACCTCTGCAAAAGCCGGCACCGGTGGCAGTTCTGGTGCGTAAAAGTAGAGAAGCTACTTCGACTAAGCTTCTGCCTGGCAGAACCAAGCGGATGGTTTCAGTTCAGGTGACCTAGAGCCTTTCCAAGAACATAAAGAGTCCCCTTCCCACTCTAGCCTCACACCTCATGGATGCCCGCATCATGCTGCCTTTGAAATGTTAGCATCGATTTTTTTGTTTTTTCTTGTTGACTTACTCATTTCAAGATTTCATTTCTGGCACCACACTTCCCACCAGATAGCCAGAGCTTCTGAGCGCCAAGTTTTTTAATTAAAATTCTGTCATGTCCCCCAAAACAGCGCACACAGTACCATTAAGCCTGGCAGAAAAGATGTGAATGCATTTCACGTAATAATTTAAATATAATACTTCTGGCATCCTTTGGTTTTTGGTATTTTTAATTCTAATTAAACAGCTATTATTGAATATTAATATCCTCTATACCGTGTTCTGTTGTGGCTCTGTACTTTATTTTGGCCACCAGCTTGGTTGCATGGCTGTAGCAGCCCATGTGGTTTTTTCTGGCCTTCGGGAATCACCAGGTCCCAGGTATAATTAATATAAATCAAAATTCTCCAGACTATGACAGGAAAACGGTATGTTTGAACAACAGCTTATTAAAATGATCTACTTAATTTAACAAAAATATTGTATCCACTTACTTGGTAGCCTGGATGTTTTCCCTGACAGATTTTATAACATTTCTCCCTCTCCCCCACCCCCTTTTTTTTAAAGAAAAGGAAAGAGAATGGAAAGGACCGTTCTATTTCATCCAAGGTGCAGACCCACAGTTTGGACTGATGAAGGCCTGGGCCACCGGGGACTGTGACCGTGGCGGTGACGAATGGGAACAGGAGATCCGTCTCACTGAGCAGGCTGTCCAGGCCATCAACAAACTGATCCCCAAACCCAAATTCTTTGTTCTGTGTGGCGACCTCATCCATGCCATGCCAGGTAAGACTTGGGTGGTCCTTGTGACCTTTTCTCCTTCAACCAGTTGAGACCGCATTTGAGAAGAAGAAAAAATGATTCTGCTCCAAAGACACCTTTCCCCAGGTAAGACTTGGGTGGTCCTTGTGACCTTTTCTCCTTCAACCAGTTGAGACCGCATTTGCGAAGAAGAAAAAATGATTCTGCTCCAAAGACACCTTTCTGTGGTAATGGCTCATTCCTTCTCTGCATGACTGTGGCAGTATCACTGAGCATCAGAAAATGCACACTCATTTTATATTTAGAGTTTGGCAAGATTAATCACAGTAATTAGGCAGAGCAACAGTACTGATGATCTGAGCTTCACAGGAAAAATGGAACAGAATCCCATGTGTCACCTTTTCTCATTTCCAGGGACAAACTTGAACCGCTTCCAGATATGATATCCATAAATGTAGTCTTCTCCCCTTGTTTCCTCTCCTTTTACACTGTTATTTCTCCTGTATTTGTTAATCCTTTTTCAGTTGCAAGTGACAGAAATCCACTTAAACTGGATTAATTTTTTTTTTTTAGAGGCATGTGCTGCCTCATGGGACTGTAAAGTCCAGGGACAGAGGTAGGCTTCAAGTACAGCTGGATCCAGGGACTCAGAAGTTGTTATCAGGAATTGGTCTCTCCATCACTCAGCTCTACTTTCCTCTGGGTTGACTTCATTTGCATGCAGGTTCTCTCTAGGTAGTGGCTCCTGGGAGCTCTAGGTTTATATCCTTTTTTCAGGAACTACAGCAGAAAGAAAGTGCCTTACCCTTGCTGTCTTATCAAAATCCCAGACTGACATTCCTCCAGCTCATGTGGCCCCTTGAAGCCAGAGTGTGAGGTTAGCTCTACTGCAACCATGTGGTCTGAAGAACAGGATGATTTCCCTAAAGAAAAGTAAGGTGCTGGGAATGGGAAAATAACAGATGCTATCTAGAACTCTCTTCCTCCCCCCCCCATTCTGATATCCTTCTCTCCCAGGCAAGGACAAAGCCCAGCGAGCAAGTTTAAGCGAGAGGAAAGTACCCCTGCTCATCAGGGAGTCAGAGCTGGTCCCTGTGGCCACCTCTGCCCCTTGCCTGTGTCCCTGTCTCTGCTTAGTAGAACAGAGGTGACCTGAAGACCATTGCAGAAAACATGGCAGTAGCTGTGGACATTTTATTTTTGGCTATAAACCAAGACTCAGTCATGCTGCAATTTTAACTCCTTTGGAAGCCGAGCCACTCTGCAGTAAACGTGGGTGCATTAATTCCTCCCCATCAATGCCACCTTGTGGGGCAGGCTGTTTATCCAGAACAAAGCTCAGAAGAAAGATGTGAAAATGGCAAAAGAGCATCCCAGAATTTCTCTCTCTGAAGTCCACAGATAGTAGCCAGCAGACAGAACGCTGAGACCTCCTGTCATTCTCTGTTTACTCATATTTTACACAGAGTCTTGCATGTGGACGTGCCCATTCATTGACATCCACTTGGTAAAACCCAGCGAGGTCATCCCTGGTGGAACATCCTGTCCTGGAATTGGACCTCTACACAGGTGGCAGGACCAGCAAGAGGGAACATAAAGCAGTGGACAAAGACCTGACTTAGAACTGAGGTGGCGGGGATGCCCCAAGTCTGCCACCGATGTACTGGATAAAACGTGGTCAAACCCTTTACCTTCTTAGGGTTTCAGTTTCTGAGCCAAGAGCCCATTGAAACAGCAGGAATTTGAAACCTAACAGTCTTGGGCTATATGGTACAAGCAACTCCATAGTGCTGTACTGGAGGTGAACATCTCAGCAGCTCGGTACAGGGACACGCTCACAATGATTGTCCTGAATTTTATTTGTAGAGTGGTAAAATCTTAGCTGCTTATAAACTTGGCCACCCTTGATGGCTCTTGGCTCTAGGTTCCTGGGTGCCGAGATTGTACAATACTGAAATGACTACAGAATGCCTCAGCTTCTAAAGGAGTTGAAATCATAGCAGGACTCAAGTTTCCTTAGTTAAATTAAGGTAATACGTTAGTAGGCTGAACAGATTAATGCTACTTCCAAATGGGCTGATCTGCTGTTAGCAAGTTTGTTTAGATTATATGGCCCTATATGCATATCAATTAGAGTTTTCATGCTGGGCCACACAGTGAGCAAACTTCTGCTTTTATTGGACTCTGAATTTCATATTTTTCTGTCCTGTGTTTTTTTCTTTAAAAAACAGAATATTATGGGGCTCACTTGAATTATATAACAAGTTCTTATAGATGTTTACTGACTTATTCTGATTTATGTTAATGTATTCAGTCATATTTCAAAATCAGATTTAAAATAAAAGCTTTTCATGTGATTACATTGCTTCTTAAATAAAATATACTAAACATGAATTAAACATTGTAAACTAAAGGATATGGTTTTTATGATCAGCCCTACCAGTTGGTTGAAAGACCTCATAAATGTGAACTGGCAAACTTTTGAACATGTATTTTATATTCAGTATGACTCAAGCAGAATTTATTATAATCTGTTCTGAAGATTTGGACTGTTTTGTGGGGCTTTAACTGAGCCAGTGAAAGGATGTAACTGTTTTGAATTTTGTGCTCTGAGATTAAACAGAGCATTTTAAAACTAGTTATCATTTTTTAATATATGATAAGTGGCTAACCTCTCATTTAGCTCATACGGAGGGGCAGACACTAGAAAAATAATTATTTGCTTTGACTACTTTAGCACATTGTTAATTATCAAATGTATATATTAATAGACAAATAAAATCAGAAAGCATACTTTTAATTCTACCATAAATAATATCTTGGGCCAAGTAGAGTAAAGGTTTATGTTTCCTCCCTTGGCTGGAATCGCCCTAAAAGCAGTGGCAGGGGAGTTTCCCACAAGAGAGTGCCCAAAACTGTCTTGAGGTGGGCCGGATGGGATTCCAAAGAAAGCAGCATTAACCATCAGGGTGATCAGTCTAAAGCATTTGTTAGGGAAACTTCTACACAGGGGGGGCTGCAGCGTATTCCAGTGATGGACAGCGAGAGAAAAGAGATATTTTACCTGGGTGTGTCCGCAGCAAGAGGGTCAGGGTGTGGAGTTTACATGAGGGTTTACAGAATTTTCTCAGGACTGAGGCCAGTTTCTTTCAGTGTTTTAGACAATAACTTAGATTCCTTTATCAGTGCCTGGGACTGTTCAAGGCTTGGGTACAAGCCTGCTGAGAAAAACCTTCCACTGGCTGGGTCACAGAGGGGTCAAGGTACTCTGTGATTTTTACTGAGGACACAAAAAAAGTGGAGGAAACTGGGGGACCTTAGAGTTCAAAATGGAGAAAAAGAACTCTCAGAGTAATGCAAGGCTTGGGTACAAGCCTGCTGAGAAAAACCTTCCACTGGCTGGGTCACAGAGGGGTCAACGTACTCTGATTTTTACTGAGGACACAAAAAAAGTGGAGGAAACTGGGGGACCTTAGAGTTCAAAATGGAGAAAAAGAACTCTCAGAGTAATGTTTTTTCAATGAATGTCATAATACAGTTTTCCATTATAGATATCCATCATAATATTTGCTCATCCACAGATATTTATGGTGTGAAAACTAAGTGTCAGTTTCAGCACTAGGCATTGTGGACACAGTGGTGGAAATGAGAGACCAGGTTCTTCTGTGGGGCTTTGAGGCTGGTCAGGAAAGTGCAGAGATATGGAAATAGGAGCATTGGTGCCAAGTGCATGGGAAAAAGTTTAAGAGATGCAAGCTTCCCTTTTTCCGATAAAGCAAGCTTCTCTGTTTTGAACAGTCCATTTTGTTTTGAAACATGTTTTCTTTCTGCAGACATCTTTTTGATTATCTTGGTATTTTCTTATTTTATAAGGCTTCTCTATGGGATAAGCCACATTAGAAGTAGCATATGAAGATTTGTACAGATATGGAGACCACTGATTTTCAGTCCTTCACTCTTAAGCCCAGGGTTACTTTCCTCAGTACTACTGACATTCGACCCACTGATACTGTCTCAGGGAGCCTTGTTAGATTTCAGTGATTATGTGTGAAGCTGACAAATCGGAAAAGTTGATACAATTCGGGTGCAAGAGATTCCTCTGAGCCTTTAGAATGGTTTGTTACTAACACACTTGTCTATCCCTGTTTATTAAATATTGCCATAACCACACAAAACAGTCAATAAGGGATCACTTCTTCCCTTGATATGAAGTCTTCTTGAAGAGTTCCTTGTGAATTAACCTCCAGTTGGGCAACTGTTACCTGATTTGATTTCAGGTGATGATTTAGCCTCAGGAATTCCTCTGCTCCGTAAAGGGAGGCAAACGTGCGTTAACCTTTTCCCAGCAGATAGTATATTAGTTTCCTAAGGCTGCTGTTAACGAATTACCACAGACTTGACTACTGACATTCGACCCACTGATACTGTCTCAGGGAGCCTTGTTAGATTTCAGTGATTATGTGTGAAGCTGACAAATCGGAAAAGTTGATACAATTCGGGTGCAAGAGATTCCTCTGAGCCTTTAGAATGGTTTGTTACTAACACACTTGTCTATCCCTGTTTATTAAATATTGCCATAACCACACAAAACAGTCCATAAGGGATCACTTCTTCCCTTTATATGAAGTCTTCTTGAAGAGTTCCTTGTGAATTAACCTCCAGTTGGGCAACTGTTACCTGATTTGATTTCAGGTGATGATTTAGCCTCAGGAATTCCTCTGCTCTGTAAAGGGAGGCAAACGTGCGTTAACCTTTTCCCAGCAGATAGTATATTAGTTTCCTAAGGCTGCTGTTAACGAATTACCACAGACTTAAGCGGGAGCGCCGCCGCACTTCCCAAGCGGCGCACCATCCAGTGCGCCACCGGGCCGGCCCTTGTTTTGCTTTTTTAAACAACAGTTTGGATAAAGCAAAATGACCTCTCCTATGCAGGACTTCCAAAACATCACTTTCATATTCAGGAAAACAGCCACAGATAAATGTTTTCAAAAGATCTTTTTGCAGAAAGTTCAGATCTATGGCTGTTTCTTTGATTTGGGTCATGTACTTGTACATAATCCTTTATCTGCCA